ATATAATTTATTCCTAATTATATACATAAAAATTAAATAAACAATATATAATTTTTTATCATTTCTAATTATTGCTCCAATTGTAACTACTAATTTCAATTTTTACAAAAATATTAATTTTTATTAACAAATATTAATAAAAAATATTATGATAGTAATATAAATTATATAGTCATTATCAAATATATCGCAATACGTACAAGGTAAAAAAATTGAAAATGAATTTTTTTAATTAATAAAATTTTTTTAACTAATTTTTGAAAGACGTTTTATATAATTTATTTATATCTTACAAGTAAACTTTCGATATTAATCTGTATAACAAAATTTATTAAAAAAAATTTTAAGGTTTATTAAAAATAAAGTATATACATTTATATAATAAATATCGAAAGTTAAGAATTTGACGTCATTAGAAAAAAATATTGAATAATACTATAAAAGATACTGTATAAAGTATATTAACATATATAAACATTTTTGGCATTCTTTATACATGTATAAATTCCCTATATGATATATGAAAGGAAACTGGATAGAATGGAAAAGGACTAGTACATTCTTCCACTTATGCTTATGTTTATTTATTAATTGTTGCGACGGAAGTCATCAAACTTGAAAATTTAATAAAAATATTCACAATGAGCATTCTTTCTTTCTTTCTCACGTACGTTCTTATCCTTTCTCTCTCGCTTTCGCTCCCTCTCTTTCTCTCCCTTTCTCTCATACTTGTCTCTGTTACGCGCACGGCCGTAACATTCTTCGTGAGCTAATGCGCGTGGTATGGGCCAATTTAACCAATGTAGAACTTGTGTCCAGCACTCGTTGGACACTTGTGTTGCCTGGTTATGCATGTATGAATGTGTGGTATGATGTATATGTACATTCAATTATTAATAATTATTATTAATAACAACAATAACTAATTAATACGAATAGAAAATCATGTCTCACGGTGAATGACTCGATTTCATATTTCCATTTTTTTCTCTTAAGATTCGATGAATGTTCGTTCCAGAGTCGTTGCCATTTGTCCATACATGTGAAGTATGTTTCAGCGATGTCAGTGCAACATGCAAATTCAGTTAAGCGAGGCCTTCAATTTCGGCGAGTTGCTGTTTCGAAAATTATTGAAAAGATTCCAAACAGCGATTAGTCCTTGCTCAACATCAGAGCTGCCAATGACAATACATAAAGCTGGGATATCTTCACTCTGCCGACTCTGGCATTAAAATTACAATAACAGCATAATTCCTTTCAGCGGTAAACTGATTAGTCTGTCAGTTCACCTAATTGATTGTATTACTGATTCAGTCCAGGATGACCACCATGTCATCGCCACGTACTGCTCTTTGTGGATGAGGAGGATGTAACGGAGCTGGTAATCTACGCCATGGTTTACGCGCTGCCCTTCGAAGTTCAACTGATGAAAGGGTTCTTCTTAGTCTTCTACAAATTATAAATATTATCGATTTTAATA